AGGAAGCTCTGTGTCCAAAATGATAAAATGGGCACAGTCAGCTCACTAAACAAAGGCTGGTTCTTGCCTGTTTTTAAAAACAGCATAGTAACTTCCCATGTTGTATGTCAGGAGGACATTCCACCCAAGTTCTGCAACCCATGCCCCATCAAACTTTCCAGTGCCATCAAATACCGAGCCACCACAGCAACTTTGGACAGGAGTTGGTGGATGTCGAAAGTAGGCTTATGTGGAACATGTGTGTCCCTTCACTGACCTTTGCTTGACAGGTTTTCAGGACCTGAAACAAGATTTGGAGAATGGGGAAAGGGAAGGTTTCAAAATGGCCTTCAGCAGTCCAAAGCAGCACAGCAGCAGTTCTACTCTTTTTTCTTCCTCTTTGAGGGCTTTTGGTCAAGCATTTGCCAGTGTTGATCTGCAACTCACTGAGGAGAGAACGTGAGTGGATGTTATTGCAGAGGAGCTCTTAAGCCCTTTCTACTGGTGAAGGAGAGGGTCTGCAGAGTACAGGCAAGTCATGGCCAAGTGATGTAGGGGCAGAGGTGCCTTGGGAGCTCCAGCACAATCGCTGTACTGACTGTCTTACACATGGCTGCCCTTCTGTCCTGCCTACCAAAGTCAGTGTAGGAATGTCACAGTGACTTCCCTCCACACTAGCAGGGGCTTGTACCCTTTTCTCTGTGGAGAGGCTGGTGCACAGGTCTCAGCCTGGCCTGGCCAATCTGAACTCCTTGATGCTGCCTATGACTTTGGAGTGACAAGGTTGTTTGACCATCACACTAGAGATGGCATTACTTTTACTGGTTTGGCATAGTCAGTATGGGCAAGCACAGAAATGGAGCTTGACTCTTTTATGTGGGTTGGTGTGGACTGTAACTCAGTATCAGAGCTGGCTACCAGATTCTGATAAATTTCGGATAAGTGGATACTTTAGAACCCATTATTACTTCTCTCTCCTTGCCAAATTACATTAACTAGTTGCTGAACTGAGTGCAGGTGAATGTTGCAGTTTGTCATCTCTGAAGAAATAATGCCTGTGTGAGACTCCCCTGTGAGTGTCATAGGCCCATCACAACTCGAGGAATGTGACCAGGTTTCATATTCTCAAGAAGGAAAGATCCTTTTTATTTTGGGAATGGTTATGTGCAGTGTTTAAGTATTAGCTGGCTTGGCACCTCACAAAACAAAGGCATTTATTACGCTTCTCTGCAAGACCTATGTGCCAGCAGAGAAATAAAACAAAAGATGGTTAGAGCAGCATTGTGTAAACCCGTTACCCATTGCAAACCTTTGAAGTTCAGCTGCCTTTGTGGACTGTGAGAGTTGGTGTGCAAAGCTTGTAATGTTTGTGTGACTGTGCTGGCACAGGCAGGGCCCCAGTAGTCATGGATAATTCACATGGAACCAGAAGCATGGCATGAAGAATGTGCCCCTGGCTGGAGTGAGCAAGTCACTTTATCACTGAGGCTTTTTTTAAACTGAAGACTGTTTACCTGGCAGCTCTCAATTAACATGCTGATGAAATCTATGCACAAAGTTTACACAGGTTCCTTGAGAAAATTTGCTACTTTAAATTTGCCTGTTTTTCCTATATTTAGGGGATCAAGCCCTTAGCCATGTGCCCAAAAATAAAGGATAAAAACTAGACATTCTAAGACTTAATGCTTTCATTCTTCTCATGCACTTGGAGTAGCAGTTATCTAGCAATGGAATTACACAGTATCCACAAACTGCAGTTCACCATTAAGCTCTCTCAAACAGAAAATTACACCAAGAAATCCATAAGCAGTATGAACAGCAAGGGTCAGACTGTCTTACTGTGAAGAATTACATAGTGTAGGAAGCCTATTGCCTTTTGTTTTTTTTCTGCTGTTAATTCCCCAATCACAGCTCACATGGAGGCTTCTGAGAAATCAGAAATGTAGTGTTGTATTTGAAATGCATTGCAGTATTATAATTCTATTTTGGTACACTTTACACTAAACGGTGTAATCCTTATAGTAGGTATTTAACTCTGATATGTTTTATCTGCAGACTGCTCTCAAAATGATTGATCCTCCTTGCCTTTACTCTAGAAAGGCGCTGAATGTTGTCTGAGGGAAACTGATCTGTGTTGGTGTTAAGTGACTGAATCAGGGCTGGTGTGAAATAAAAGCATTAATCTTTCTGCCTTGCTGGATGTATGCAGACTGCATAAGGCCTAACATTGTTTCAGTTCCTGTGGAGTGATTTAAGTTCCATAGGCTAGTTGAAGTTCCTTACCCACCTTACTGCTACCAGCCAAAGGCTGCTAAGAGAAAGCCACCACGGAATGCATGATTCAATTGCAGGTCAGCATTGTTTTGTTTAATACATCACATCTCTTCATAAACAATTTTATTTTTTTTGCAGAAAACACACGTTTAGAAAGAGGAGGTACAGTTCACAGCTTGACTGCCTCCATGGACTCGTGGATGATGGTTCCATGACTCCTGAGATCTTTCAGGGCCTGAGGCACAGCACAGAACACCCCTCCAGCTGTCGAGCCAGGGGATGACTGGCACAGGCTATGCAGCTGAGGCAGCAGAGTTGGATTCACCTTTATTCTCCACAGGGAGAACAGCAAAGGCAAGGAACTGCTTCTGATTTGTGTTAAGAAGTCTTGACTTGGGTCTGCCTGACATGTAGTTGCTATGTCAGTCAGATCTGCCTATTTCAGTAAGTAACACTTGAGCACTGTCTTCATGAAGCTTGGTGTAAAAAACCAAACAAACCCACAGTATCAAGCACATGGTGAAAATCTTAAACCAATCACTGTGATGGATAAATGTTTAGCATTACTTGGCAAATGAGTGATAGCTTTATATTTTATCCACAGAATAACAATATTGGGTTAACAAGCGGAAGAAAGAACTAAAGCAGAACAAAGAGACAATTTTTTATTCTTGGTCTGGATGGGTATTTGGTACTTGCAGAGGTGCTATTAAACACTGCCTGTGTATCTCCAGTGGCTGCAGTACCAAGCTAGCCTAAGGTTCCTCGGATGGAGCAAGTCCACACTTAAGAGCAAGGAAGAAGAGGGTTGAATTGGAAGTAGAACACAGCCTTAGTGTTATTTGCTACAGTGTATTAAAACAGCTCTAGGAGTTTCATATACTAAAGAGCAGCAGTCATTTAACATTTAAAAATTAATGTTTTCTTTACAGATGACAATATAAGCCCCAGCACCTTTAGATACGTGATCAGCTCGCCTGTTGTCTCTGAACATGACAATTTGATGTAGGAGTGGGCATCGTCGTGGATGAGGGAGAATTTGCAAAAGGGATGACCAAGAAAAGCTTATTGAAATCACAGCAAATCAAGATATGAAGGCCGGCAGGGGTGCTGAAACAGGCTGATAAATAGATATTTATTGGATAGTAAGTTTCAAATATCACCTGCTCCCACTTCAAATTTACCTGCTCCCACTTGCTGCTTCAGGGGCAAAGTATTTATGTTAAGGTGGCAGCTGGAATACAGTCAGCATCATCTTGCTGATCCTGTACACGTGCACACTCCCTTAGAGTTCTGTGCCCCAGGACAGCAGGACACACACTATGGAGAAAGATCAGAACTGCTGGCAGTCACTCAAACCTCCTACCTATTCAAGGGGAGTGTTTTTACCGGAATTGTAAATGAACATGATGGTGGTTCCAGGACCAAGTCTATAGTAGTTGACAATAATTTAACTACAGCTACTATTAGACAGGCAAACTGAGATAGGGGAAAGGTTATTTTCCCCAGAACACAAGCCAGACAAGGACTGATAACACAGGGTGTTATCAGGAAGTGAAAGCTGGCTTATTCCAGCAGCATCATTCTGCTACAGCCATTTGATGTCCCAGAAGATTTGAGTTTATACAGGTCCATGTACAGGAAATACATATGGAACTATTATTTTTGAGAAGACCTGAGACGAAAGAGTCAAAAGGAGAAAACAAGGGGTATACAGAGTGGCTTGAAAATAGGTGTATAGCTGTAGAATTTCTAACTGCTGCTTCTCTGGTGAGTGTTTCTATCTATAGAAATGTCAGGGTCAGTGTGTGTAATGAAGGGCACAGTCTGTTTGCAGACAGGACAAAGGTCATACCTCTGGCTGCTGTGCACATGACAGACTACCCACACAAGAAGGACTGCTGCAAAGCTGATACAGGTGGATGAGCTGAAACATTTTTAGGTAGCCATCCTTTTAACACTCTAGTGTGGACAAGAGTTGTGCTGGCCAACAGTTAATTTTCATTTTAAACTACTGGAGCTCATAATTTTCCTCATGCTGCTGCTAAATGCAGCATGTTAAAAGACTTCTTCAGAAACTGGTGTAGCTAAAACTTCCAGGAATCTAAAGCAAATGTGGTATAAACACTGCAGAAGGAAGAGGTGGGGGAAAAAAGACAAGTTATTGCTAGAATGAAGAATAAATTTATCTTAGCTTTAGCTCACACTCTTCCCCCCACCTCCTCTAAGAGTCTTGCATTTATGTGCTCCTTTGAAAAGCACAGAGATGAGACCGAGTATTTCAGGAGTCAACAATGAGCCTTTCATTGAGCTGGCTTAAAGCAGCAGTGCCTGATCATGCAGGTCTCTTTCAAAGGAAGATACAATGCTGTGCTTTTGTTTAATTTTTTAAAGATTTTATTAGGATTAGCTTTTTGATTCAAAGAGATCCTAAACAATCTACAAAGATAAGGACACCCCAAAAATTTCAAGTGTTTCTTCCAAGAACCCTAAGGAGAGCTCCTTCTGGAGTTACACCTCTGATTTGGAGGATGACTTCACTACTTTGCCTTCAGAGATGTCAACTTTTTTTAGTTTTTTTCTAAACAGCCTTTAGCTAGAATTTGGTTTTCCATCCTCCTTAAGTATGCTGGTAGAGGGAAGGAAAGTGTCTTCTGCAACTCAGAAAAGAATAAAGGGGACTAAGCAACAAGGAAGCAGTGGGTGTTACCTGTCCTTTAGTGTGAAGGGAGAGCCACAGACAGGAGTAGGTCTCTATAATTTTATTCTCATTACTTACACAGTTACTGCACCATGCTACAAGTTATTAACTCAGAGCATCCTACTGCATGTTACTGGCTTTGCACAAACCTAGCAGAAAAAAACCTTCTGCTTACGGTTAAACCATTGCCATCAACACTTGATACTATCTAAAGAATAAAACCCTTTTGTTAGAGGATGCAGTCATCACCATCATCTTTAAAATCTATATATAATTTCAGTTATCTCTTCCTAATGCTTCAGATGCATGTATTGAATTTGAAATAATTTACAGTTAGTCTTATAAAGTTCTGCTTGTTTTTCTTCCAAAGAAAATAGCAGCATATTGCAAAATAGGAAGGTCCAGTAGCAAAATATGTAGTTATTACTAAATAATCCATCAAAAATATTTTCCTATTATGACGGTGCTGTTTCATTTCTTTGCATATAACGTCTGTTGCAGAATTGACTCAGACAAACTCTGCACAGGTATAGTCACAAAGATAAAGCAAAATGGTTTTCTGTAGTACCAAGCGGAAAAAGGTGGTGGTGTTTGGCAAGTAATTACCTGCTTCTTTGCTATTTTATGATCCAATCTGACTTGAAGAGAAAGGTGGATGTGATCACTAAGCATTTGTCACTTTGCCATCCTCTGCCTCCTGTTTTCATGTCTTCTTTTGTCTTTACTCAGCTTCAGAGTAGAAGATGAAGCATGCAGAGTTTATGGGAAGATGTTTGTGAACAGAATCATAGAACTGAAGTTCAAAAACCCCACAGCCCAAAGTCCACAACAGGTGAATTGTGTTTGCATTATGTTTCAGTTAACTGAAGAAAGAGGCTGCCACTGCAGTAAAATACAAGGAGGTCATCACTTCTGTAGACCAACACCTGTATTTTAATCTGCTTGAACTAAGGTACAGGGACTTGCAAGAACAATGAAACTGATGCTTTTTTTTCAGTGGGGAATACTGAAAAGCCAAAAAGAGGAACATTCAAGCAGAACTACTTTCAAATGCCCAGCTGCACATACTAACTGCTTCAACAAAAAGGAAAAATTAATGAAGATGAAGAAGAGTCCTTCTCACTGATGTGTATCAGGAACATTAAAAGTGGCTCTTTCCAGCAGCAGTGACATTTGTTCTCGCAAAACAGCTGCTGATTGTGAGAAATAAAGCCAGTTTACCACATAAAATGTGCACTGCAAATATTTTTGAGCAGTTTAATCTTACGCACTCTTCTTTCACTGTGTCCATTTTGTAGTAAAGTATGTTCAGACGCAGCCTTAACTAACTATAATCTTAAGAATTGGTCATACAAAAACTACATCCTCACACAGCAGCTCCTGCCACCACAGCCTTTGTGTTGAACCAGATATATTATTTTTGTTTCTTATGCAGAATTATAATCATGTATTTGAGTAACAAGATAAACATGTGGTACCAATAAATATAGTTAATTTTAAAAAGTGCAATCTTAAATGTTTCCATTGGTTTTCTAGGAATAAAAGTTTCCAGGAGAACATGAATTTATTTCCAGCATGCAGTGGCTACAAGCTCATTGTTACATTGGATTATTTTGCTTAGATCGTCTCTTGGCTGTTCTTCTGGTGATGGACAATAGCAGTAACTACAATACAACAAAGAGAATGTTACTACAATTCATCAGGGCACTTGACTCTCTACACTTCAACTGTGAGGACAGGTACTGTCAGATATTACACTGGTATACTTCTTGGAGACTATTACAAAATCTGTATTTTTATGACACAGTTAATATCAGTTTTCCTCCCTGGTGAGTCTTTGTACTGAAATAATCATTGTAAGATAAAAAAAAAAAATGCTCTTATCCCCTAGAGATTTATATCTAAGATGTAGCGTAATCACAGAAGGAACTGCTGATTACAAAATGAACTGAACACCACAGTGAGTACAAAGCCAAATATAAAGAGGACATTGTATTCACTAGGCCAGGGGATTGCAATTTGTCTAAAAGAAAAGTAAGGCAAAATTTAAGTTTTGCATGTATTTATCACCTGCCATTGAGTTGATAAAAGCAGCTAATCCAGACTTCTGGATTGCTGGAATTGTACCAGGACTCTTTTCAGGGTGTTTCCTGTGCACTACTGAAGAGCACTTCATGTTCACAGGTACCTCATGTTACAGATGTGCTGCTGCTCAGTCAAGACCCAGAGCTGCTTCGAAACAGAACAGGTACACAGCAACATTCCCAGGAAAGTCTTATTTTTCCTAGAAGCCCTGGCTCACACCTAGACATAGGTTTGAAACTGGATGAAAAGGCAGAGCTGTTTTATGCAACTTACCTTTACTAGAACACAGCCATCTTGTTCAAGAATCATGCAGTTTTATAATTTAAAGTACCATAACAATTTGAGGAAAAAAATGGGTGTGACCCGTGAATTGGGCACAATTTCAATTCCAAACCATTTTCAATTTTTTAAAAAAATTATTAGTTATACATTCTCTCTCCCTCTAATACAGTAAATTGTGGGGGTTTTAATTAGCCTTATGTTTTTAGCATCTAAATGTTTAAGAAACAATAGTTATTATTCCTCTGTTTATCCATTATGAATATAGCTCATTCTGATCTGGAATACAGCTACTCTAGGTGAAGCTGTCAAAGTGCATGAAAGAACATTTAAGACTTTTAGTGCCAGTGATACAGTGTACAGTATGCATTTGACTTGAAGAGTATGCACAACTTATTCCTTTGATTATCTAACCTCAAAGTTAAATGGACCAAACTGGCTACAGTAGATTTGCTTACAAAACAAATCCCTCAATTCAAACCCAGCAGAAATACTACCCTTCCAAACCTGCATAAGGTCCTGTCCACTCTTCACCAATTGTAAATTCAGCTTGAAGTTCCTGACCTAGCCTTGGTCTTTTCCCCGTTCATATTTCTTACATGAATTTACAGTAGAAACGGTGCAAAATAGCAAGACCTGTTGGAATAGGCAGAAAGGATTTCAAACTTTAATCTGATTGGTTTAATTTTTTTTAGCATGAGGAAAAAGAATAAAGTTACAAGATTCTTTTAATATTTTCACAATGTTAAACTAAAACTGAGCTCTAGGCTACATGTGTAAGTAAATCTAGAACACAAAAGGGTTAAATAAGATCTTCTTTTAAGATACAAGAACTTAAGCTTTCTTTATGTTTAACAAACTTCACAGAACAGATACTGCAAAGGAACAACTCCCTCCCCAACTTTTTGTTTAAAGTGAACATTGTCCATAATTCACATGAACTTTAAGTAGTGTCCTCTCAAGAGCCACCTTGAAACATTCTGTGCACTTGTAATGAGATTAAAGAGAATAGGAGGAGGAACAAAATAGCATCTTCAGTATTAATGCAAGAAAAGTCTTGTGTATCAATCAGAATGCCCATCAAATGCTAGGATAGGATTTTGTAGGAAAAGAAAGTGCGTATCACAGCAGCCGCCAAAATTCATGGTTTTTTTAAACTCCTCACAGCAAATGTAAATAATATCATTGGACAGTCCCTCTCACCAGGACCACTTCCTGAAATGCAGCCCATTACAGAAGCTTTTGCTGCTAGTTCATATTCTTGAATAAGAACAAGAAAAAAAACAAAACAAAACAGCTTGTCTTCCAGGCAGCTTGCATTTATAATGATGGGACACTTCTGATTTGCTTCATGGTTAATGCTAATACAGTCAGATGCTGAGCGTGTCAGAGAGACATATATATATATGTGTGTATATATATATATGTATTCTTTTTAAAATTAGTTGTCTAATCGTTAAATGTTCCTAACTGGCTACCAAAGTAACAGTATAATTTGGCCTACAAGGAGTTAATTACCTGTAACAAGTAGAATGAAGGATGACTCATACAAGCTGGGGTCTTCCAAGTGACAGGTTACTTCACCCCCAATGTTCCACATCTGCCCAGTATTTGAAGATGAGACAAAGCCGATCCCTCCCTCAGGTTTTCTTACAAATGTACCCACTTGTTAATAACTTACTAATTGACTGAGAAGTTAAACTCATTCAGGATTAAGCTGGGCAACATCAGCACGAATCATTTTTGCCTGCATAAGCCTGCATGCAGCAGGAGACAGCCCAATTATGATGTTTGCTTTTATGTTTCCAAAGTGGCAAAGCTGGTCCGTTTGGGCTCAGCTCAGCGTGACACACCGTGACACAGAACCAAGGCTCTAACCAGATCCAGGTCATGCATTTCACATCCACTTGATACACTCACTTTGTGGGCAGGGATTTTCCTGGGCACGTTCAGCTGCATAGAAGGAGGGCTGGTGGAGCCCCTTTGATTATCTCATTGACACTCAGAATTTGAGGAACACAAGCTCATTCTGACAAAGGGTGTTTGTTTTACAGGTTGTTCCCCAATACTGTTACTGAATTCCGTTTGCTACAAAATGTCCTTTTTTCCCCAATACGTAAGTCTAGCTACAGAAAGTCAGTCTGTAGAATCCAGCCATGGCTACTGTGCTGTGAATTAGCCTTATTTGATCAACTATCAGATACCTGCACTTAGCAAAAGGCAAACAAGAGCCAATCAGGTTTCGGCCAGTGGGAATGGCTGCACTGCTCAAGGTAGTGGAATCTGTTCACATACCGCATAGAATCTCTGTGGATGCCATGTAAAAAGTTATGCACCATTTACTGCTCCAGGATGGAGTTGGCTTTAAAGAGAGATCACAATTTAACAGAGAAGAAAGAAAAAAAAGAAGGAAAAAACCAAACCCTGATAGGTTCTTTATAGTAAGATACATATAAAAATTTTTCATAAGAATCTCTGTCCCCCTTTCTTTTTGGCTTCCTGGGAAGAACTGGAAAGGTGTTCCTACCCCAACAGAATCCCTGATGCTGGTGACACTGCCTAACTCAAAAGCCACATGCGATGAAGGCACAAGTGACCAGTCAGGTCTTCTGGGCTTAAGCAGCTGCAGTTGCTGCTCCGAGTAGTATTTCACCTCCTCAGGATTCAGTAGCAGTGAAGAGGTGAAAGGCTGCACATTAAACAGTTTGTCCAAAAGCCATGTGCATAGCAAACTTTTACACCAGCTTCTATACAACTATTTGTTTTAACTCTGCAGCTGGAATGTTTCCAGCATAAGGCTTTTAGAGTGACTCCAGCAATAACAGAAGCCTTTGGATTTTTCTTGCTTTGTTTAAATCCACTAGCCATACTCAAAAATAGTATTTCTTCATGTTTTATTTTTATACGGTGGCTAGCAGGCACCTTAGTAACCAGCCAGAGATAGATTTCAACCACCATCAATCTCTAAACTACAGTATCAGGACGGTTGGCTAAAGGAAGGAAACTGATTGGCTGTAGTCTGAAACTTGCCTAGTACAAGGTGTCTGGCTGACTTTGTCCTAAATAAGGCTAACATTAGTGAACTAAGAGAACAGCATTTGGTTGCAGTCTTGCACTCAGGAACATCCTTCGCCAATGCGTTGGCAAGATCTCCCTACTTTCCGATCCAGTTTCACCATTTTCATGATGGCCTCCTCGCGCCCGTGGCCCATGTGATCGAATGTGCAGTCGTGCTGTTCGGGCAGGCGGTGCAACATGCAGAACACGTAACCTGCCAGAGGGAGACAAAAGACACGGTTAGGGACTGCTTACAGAAGTGGCATCTCACCTGAACCACAAGTGAAGAACCTCCTTGTCTGTTGGGGGATTACTCAGTTCTCAAAAATTCACACCAGTTTAAAGCTTTTACTTATTTTCTTACAGGGTAAGAATATTTATTTACTGCCTTTTGTTGAGAATTTATCAACACAGTCCCAAAGCTCAAGTCATATGAGATTTGTGGTGTTCTTTTGCAATGCTCTCATCTTATACAGGAAACCTCCAAAATCATCTAGGCTACGTATGTCTACATAGTAAAAAAACTAATGCTTTTGGGTTTTAATCATCTTCGCTGAAATCTTTCCTACTTTTGAGTGGACTTTGTTGTCATTTCTGAAACTCATGCCTATGGTACTCTAGGGTGAGCTCCCAAGCATATTTTCAAGTCAGAACTGTTAAATTTAAGCACCTTTCTTCTTCCTCACTGCCAGGATTGGCAGTGACAGCAGGGGAGTTCACCGCTCCTTCGCTATGCCGGTCTTCAGAAGCTTCTTCCCATGAACCATTCTGACACTAACCACAGGGGGGACAGGCATTTGACACAGGGACAGGACGTGGCATGCCGCATCACTTCGCTCTGTAGCTGAGAAGTTGAGGTTATTGTCTCTTTGTCTAAAGCTCCTCAATGTTACTCAGCTTTCCAGGGAGCATGTGACTTAGAAACATGCCAATACTTTTCCCTGCAGGTGAGGAGGGCATCTGCCATAGCCACCACTTTCTAGTTTACAAAGGATATCAGTTTTTTTCTTCTTTGTCCCTAACACTTTGTAACAGTAACTGCCTCAAATTTCCCACCTCCAAAACAAATTTTAAATAGCAGTAGATGCTATAGGAGAGAGAAGTCACACAATTACAGGGCTCACCAGTCCACCGCATACAAAACCAAGTATGGTTCATCTAATATCGCCTGTGCTGGGATATTTTTCCTGCCTGATGGTGCAAAGAGTAACACTGCCTCTTGAATGCTTTACATTACTGCTGCTCCTTAAATGCTCAAAAGATATTCAGCCCACAAAATTATAATATTTGAGAGATGGAAAAGGATAAAAATGAGTGAGTGAATGATTAGGAGAGTGTTCTGTGCATATATACACATGCATATATATGAGAATATGTGTGTGAAGTAATTTCAGTTTCTGGACTATAAAATGTCAATTGCAAGAGAGAACAACTTGCTACCTTTATAGAAGAGTGATTGTTAAGAAAACAGAGAGGGGGAAAGTCTTACATGGAATTATTTTTTAAAAGTGAAGAAAAATTGATTTATCCTTGCTCTTTGTTTCAGTAGCACCAGGCTATGAAAAGACATGCCTATTATCTGTGTCTGGCTTTGAAATCCAGTTCTAGGAACAAAGCCAAAAAGACAAATTTTCTGTATTGGTATGTACAGTTAAGAAATACGGATGGAAACACGCAGATTGAATTGATATGTATCTCACCCCTTGTGATCATTGCCTCCAGTTCAATCTCAATCTGGTCATACCACACTCAAATATGACAAATATCTTTCCCAAAGTGACAAAAATTCAAGGTCTGATTGTTAAAATGAAAATATCCCTGGACTATAGTGCCAATACTGAACATGTATTTCACTCAGTTCTCTCTCACAAGAAAGCAGGGTCTGAACACTTCCCTTATTTCTTGAAATAATATATCAAATTGCTGAACCAATGTCCACTGCAGGTACAAAAATCATAAATGCCTACCTGGATGAACTCAAAAATCAAGTTCATCATCTTATGCAATGAATGTATAAGAAGCAGATACAAGACACAATGAAGATATGGACTGGGCAGGGGGTGTATCACTCCCTTATAAATAAAAACTGGTTTTAAATCCTGGCAGTTTTACAGATAATTTCCAAATGTTTAACAAGTGTATGTAAAAATGCCATCTAATGTTTCTGAAAAGAGGTCTTGAAAATGTAAACAATCTTCTGCACTGCTTCACCAAGACCCTTTGACAATTCTGTAAATGTAGTAAGGAAAGTACATATGCCACATGATTTATCACTTTTGAATGTGACCTTTCCATTGCCCCATCTCTTCCCCTTCTACAAAGCCTCGTGCAGACCAGCACAGCTTCATGATGTTCCTTTCTACCCTGCCACCCCTAATACAATCTATCCTCTGATTTGCCCGATCTTTATTTCATTTTTGAACACCTTTTATTTCTTTATAGAGCACCTGTTTTCATATAGGAAAATCTGTACTGTACGCTATATTTATTCCACATGACACATTATTTATTTTTTCCTGTTCATCAAAGATTTTTTTATGTATTCTTGAACAAAGTTTCAGTAACTGTCCACAAAAAAATGGCATGTGATTTTAATTTTTCTTAGAGTATGGGAATAGTATGTCTAATTTCAGCAACTAAATTATCTAAACCTGTTAATAATATATGTATATATATATATTTAAATATGTACTGCTAATTAGAACAGATAGTATCTAATGAAAGAATACCCAAGCTCACTTTGAATGTTACAAAAATAGTTCTGCATATATTGGCTAATTCATGGAAGGGATCTTATTCTGGTTGAATTAGCAATGGAGATCTCCTGGAAGCTCCATTTCCAAAAAGAGAATTCAGATCTTTAGTCTCATTGCTATAAAAGCTTAAGCCACTTTAAAGATTGGAACTTGTTTTTTTTTTTGCAGGATTTATTTAAAATTTAAAGGCCTTTAAACACTGTTATTCAGCAACTGAGTGACATTCATTCTGAACATTTTTTCATTAGTTCAGAGCGTGTATATTCAATTAGGTTATTACTGCTGTATTTACTCCTTGTTTCTTCAGTGGTTTGAAAATCAGAAGGGACATTCTGTGGTCTGCATGTGCAGAAGTGCCTGATGTCACATCAAGGCCATCAGATTTTACAGCAGTTCCATTACTAACTTGAGTGTGCTGGGGCAGAAAGTGAATAAATGCATCTGTATTTTGATCATTGATGCAAATCTATATTTAGAAATGAAACCTTTTCTCCTGAGAACTCTGCTTCTATGGCTACAAAGTAGGTTAGATAAATGAACTTCTGCAGTGTATATGCTGTTAAGTTCATTATGGGATGGTATCAAATACAGGTTGTGTCCCTTAAAGGAATTTACTGCAGAAATGCTTCTTTTAGCACACTGGAACTAAAAAGCAAAATAAATAACTTTTCTACTAGTGTAAAGAGCACTGCAAAAGGGAATTCATCTGCCAATTGAAGTTCATTTGCCCAAGTCATCAACCTAAAACATACCAGACTTCCACTCCCAGCACAGAAGACTTCAATCTAGTAAATGTAATAATACATCTCACAGCTCTGCAATTGTTTTCTGATGTTAGAAGTAAACTATGAATCACCCACTCCTCAGGTCTCTAATGCAAACATCTTAGTGCCTCCAAACATTACATAGTGCCTCCAGACATTTGAGCTCCTCTTAGCACCACAGAAACTTCTACACAATACATCATAAAAAAATTCATTTCCATTTTATCACCAGAGCAAAAATGGCTAAAGCCATAGAGCAGAGCAGCATCCCTGCCTGACAGAGGAGTCACGCAAAGGAAGCCCAAGACTGCACACTAGCAACTATGAAGCTGCTTTCATCATTCCTGAGGAACCTGATGGGAAAGGGATTTTGGAGAGAACAGAATACAGAATAGGCTTCCACATTGCAGACCAGAGAGTTATCACAGACCTACAGTATGCTGTGTGCGGGTAATGAAAACAATTGCCTTTTCTTCATTGCTACACTCAAGAGCCCTGGTACATTTTTGAGTTTCTGAAAGCTGAGCCGTTCAAGTATCACTGCTGACATGAAAAAGCAAAACCCTTCATTATCAAGTACCATCAATCATCTTAATTGTTCACTCTAGACATTTATGCTTTCATTGCAGGCACAAACTGCTCTGAAGGTTTAGCCTTCTATACTACAGTGACCCCTTTTTATACATTCAAAAACTTCCCAATGGTAGGCAAAAGAAAGGGAAGTCAACATACTTTACCATAAAACCCTGAGCTTCTGAGACTTAAAAATCATCTCACCTGTCCACTAGGATCAGTATTTAGTATTTTCATTCCCAAGTCAACAGGCAGAAGTTCAGAACTGTCAGAACTTGCAGCTTACACAGTTCCCAAATTTTATTTAATAAACAACCTGTGTTTATATAGAGCCCAATACAAAACCTATTCAAAAGCAGTCCTAGTAATGACACAATCCTGTGCAGAATTCTGTGCTGTGTGCTTTGACTTCACATTCTTCACAAGATATTGTACTTCTCTTGCAAATTTGAAATTTTAATCAACAGATGTCCAAACAATTTAAAAATACCTTCTGACTTAAGAGTTTAAGATACTGCAAAAATTCTAGCAAAGGCTAGAAGTAAACTGTGTAAGGTTAGAAGTAAACTAACTACACCAAAGGTGTATTATCTAACAAGGTATTACAGGAGTCTACAAGAAGATTTCTGTTCAAGAACAGATTTTAATATCTCTTTACGCAATGAACATATCTGCAGGCTATCATACAGCACAGCCAAACCAGGCAGATGAGCCAGCAGAGAAGATCAGCTCATGATGCTGCACTGTTCAGAGCAACTGCACACCATTCACTTCCAAAACAACATTTATGCATCTCCCCCTGTAGCCCTTCTAACTGGAAAGATGATTTAATGTGTTGCAAATTATACTAACAATAAAACCATTTATAAGTAAGTGTGGGAAGGATTTTTTTTTTTTGTTGTTTTTTTAAAGACATGAAATAGGTAAGAAATTAATAGAAAAGTAGGACAAATAGTTACCAAGATACAAAGCAAGATCCTAAAGGCTTCAGTACCTGAGAACTGCAGTATGACCCAGCTTCCAGGGCAGCTCGTATGTACCGCGTTAGGCAATATAAATATATTCTAGTCTGCTGTTATCTGGTATTCTCTTTTAGACAGCTCCATTCTTGCATCTACTCT